TATCGTTCAAGCTAAATTAATAAAATAAAGCTAGGTTCTAAAAACACAGCATTCTTCATTATCTAAATAACAGCTTTTTATGCTTTTTTATAAAAAAAATCAATGAATTTAGTAGGTACCAGTAATACAAAAAATGTGTGACTAAATGTATGTTGACTATAGCGGATTTAACTTTGTTGACCACAATCCCCATGTTATTTAGCTCACAAAATCTACGAATTTCCACCTGACGGTTCAAATGGAAATTAAATAAATATAAATATTTTGTTTTTGCTAAAAAGGTAAGTTTTATAAAACGGTTTTTTTTTACATAGATTGTGGAGGAAATTTTCCGCTCGGTGGTCTCAGCCTCATAAAATGTAAATGCTCATAATATTGCATAACAAGATGTGACGGTCCTCGACGCTGAGCTTAAATTTGTTCAACTTTAATTTGTCTGTGTCTAACAGTGGAACATGCATTACAATACATTCTTATAATCAAAAGTTTTATATTTTAATTAAAACTAAATTTTTCATTGTTAAAGGGAGTTACAAAATATTTTTGCAATTTCCTTTTCTTGGTGCAATTGTGTTAACGCTTTCAGAATGATGGGTTTTTTGTGTTACAAAATACAAAGCTATCGCCTACAAAGCATTGCTATTGCCTAAATTATTGATTTTGGTACAAACTATGAGTAAAGGTGTTTTAAATTCGTTTAAGCAGTAATATTGTATTAATAGATTTTCGTTTTTAGCCATATAAATAATTCACTTTGTTAAAAAATGTCTACTTTAGTGATTTAATTTTTTTATTACTTTTTAATAACATTTGTAGGTTACCTTGACCATGTATAAACAAGTGTTACCTAACGAAACGAATTTTAAATTGATTTTAAATACCTTACAATAACAATACAACATTGGAATCGACTGATAGAGGTTTCTTTAATTTGGAAAGATGCAATTTTTCCTTGATCATTAATGATATCCCCTTTAAAAATATGAAATATTGAAATAAATCTGATATTTTGACGTTATACTACCGACACAAAACTGATAAACAATACCCCCGCTGCAGCAAACCTGCCGTCTAAGCGAATTTCCATTTGGCTGAATTGATTTTCAATTGATCTATTTAAATAACATTAGGTTTAACGAGTACCTAGGTTTGCTGCTACAAGGAAACTAATAAAGTGTGTATTTTAAGTAAAATAATTATTGTTTAGTATAAATGAATATATTTGCCAAGTTTGATCAAAAGATATCCATAAACAAGCAAACTACAACATTTACAATATTCTCCATAAGAATAACATGGGAATTTTAAATTTACCATTTTTTTAGTTTTCTCCGTAACCAATAACCGTACAAAAACACTTTGATATACTGAATTGTTTGTTTTTTTAAGCTCTTTAAGAAGGTTTAGAGATAAATTGGGAAATTTTGTTTTTTGAGGGTCAAAAGTGAGAAAAACCAATTTTTACCCCATAAAACCCCCCATAAAACCCTGCTCCCATGGTTCGATCATGCTGGATCGCGAACTCATTCAAGTTTATCCCACCTTACACCTTCAAACCAAATTTCATCAAAATCGGATAAAAATTACTCAAGTTATCGTGTTCACGGACACATATATATATACATATATAAAAATTTGAACGAATGGTGTTTTTGGCCTCTGGAGACATCAAAATGAAAAAGTAAATCGGTCCCGGGTCTAGGACTTACCGTGCCACCTACGGTAATAGCTACTTCCCTATAGGGAAATTCGCTAAAACAAAAATTGTAGGGTTATTTTTGAAAGTTCTTAGGGAGGGGCAGGTCAATTATAAGGTAATATTGTCATCTTAAAACAAGAATTGTAATCTTTAAAAAGTGTTTATAGACTAAAAACCTATCACACTCACTGATTAAAAAGATATTTTAATTACATAAAACATCCGTCTGATTAACTATTAGCTAACAATAATGGGTTTAGGATCAATATCTGAAACATTTCATTTAAGACTCACGGTTTTCTAACCGGTTTATCAACAAATCCAAGGCGATTACAAACTCATCTTCTCCATCATTCCCACCTGCTAATTTAAATTTGAAATACTTGTCTTTAAATGTTTCAATGTTTCTCGAAATTATTTTACATGGATAATGTATGGGTTTTTGCACATTTTTTACCTTAGATTGTTAACACTCTTAAAAATGAGTACATTGAGCACAGTACGTTTAGTGTGCTATTAAACCCAATTTTACAAAGTCTTTGGCAATTAGCTACGGACAATGTTAAGTATTATGTATGTGTTAAGTAATTAACACTCGTTTGACGTCAATTATTATTACTTCCATCACTTTGTTTTTTGTGAAAAAAAAACTAAATAAAATTTAAAAAAAAGCTTCCCTCTGAAGTTCTTGTCATGAAATTAACCAAGCCAAATTTAGACAGAAAAAATATACAGTAGTATAATGCTATTACTCTGTTGGTTACTGGTGTAATCATACCATAAATTATATTAAGTTAATTAGTTAATGCTAATGGTAAATCATTCCCATGCAAGAAAATCGCCTATGTGACAAACCATCCATGTACCTTTTCCAATTAATAAATGTATTTATTGCGTTGGAATTACCGGTAACTGTGTTTGATTTGATTTGATTTATCATTTTTATTTTTATTTTATCATTGACTATATAATATACATATAGTGCATATGTTCAATGGTGTATACTGTACATCTGTACAAGTTTGTTGACGATCAATCGATGGATTCTCTTACAAAGCACTTTGAAAGGTGCAAAACGTGTGACCTGAGCATCGTTAGTCCATTGGGTTCTAACTAACTTTTTATCCAACAACAAAACCTCATAATTTACGAGGACATTATATCTTCATCCCACAGTTGACGTTGGGATAATGTGGCTATGAATTATCAGACGGGCTTTACGGATCAGCTTGCATATTATCATATTTCACAATTTCCTGCGATTAGGCTCACTAACAATCATATTCCAAAATATACATAACGTAACAAATATGAAGGATTTTAATTTTTCAGTACATGTTATGAATTAATTATAACTCATTTAAGAATATGTTTTTACGTTTTACGGTAGCTTTGCATAGAGTAATTTCGTATACACTTTAATGTCAACAAGTATGTGACCATCTCTCAAAAATAAATTTGATATATTATTATATTTTTACTTTAGGCTTAGATTATATTTATCCAACCTTAGCTTTCGAAATTATTAGGTTAAATAGCTGTAACCCATTAGTTTCTAAGCAAATTTACGGAGGCTCTTAAGAGAATCCTGCCTATTCTAAACCAGCCAGCGCAAAGATAACATTGTCTGTGACTCTTCAATTACGTCACTGACTGTGACAGATAACTTGAGACCTAAGTTGAGAACCTCTGAATAGCTTAGACAATCTCTATCCTTACACGTCCTGAATCGTGGTGTCAGTCGTGGTGCCCAAACTTCTCCTATGTCATGTTCTAAATAAATTACTTCAATAATTTAAAGTTTAGTTGGATTAGTATACAACAATAAGAACCACAGTTTCACCATTATTGTCTATTGACGAGTGCATTAGGGCCCTGACTTTTTTGTAGGTTTACCACAGGAATAGACTTAGGACACAATCAGTGCTACCACAAACAAAATGTAAATTAGCTTTCAATTTTTACAGAGTGTTCATTTGACATCAAGACTAAGCTGTCGTTTGATGGTCCAAAAATTATTATGATATTAAAAAAATTGTATGGGAGACAACTTCACGTCATACCAATCCAGGTAGGCTGATACGAAACGCATATCCAGAAACGTTTAAATAAAGTAAGGTGGGTCGTGTTGGTGGGCCAACAACAATCAATTGTATAGTGAACAACCCAAGTAAATTCGTACGTATCTTTAGTCTACTATTGAAAATGTGTACTATTCTAAGTTCAGTTTCAGTTTTATTAATGCACTTTACGGAAAGTAAATAAAAGAAACGTCTTATAACACTTAAAGCATATATTTACGCTTATACTGTTACTCACAAGACGGTAAATATACAAAACAAATGGTAAGTGGTGATCGATTTCGATTGGACACTCCAATCATCATCAGGCCCAATAGGCGAATGACAAGAATCTTGTCAGGATCGAACTGACTGTGAAAACTCTCTGATGCTAGAAGGATTACTCAACTTGGTATAATTTGGTAAGAGGTCAGCACTGGTAGATACCTTCCCGAGCCCGAGGAAGAATTAAATTAGAAGACTACCGACTACTAACAGGCATTCATCGGATGCGTGAATCTTTAGGACCTATCAATAAAAAAAACTTTCGGGGAATGCACAATACTAATTCGTACTTAGTACAATAGTAATTTGACTTTTCTGATGAATTGCTTTATGGTTTTGGCCTGCCCCTGTATAAGATAAAATAAAAATATGTTGGAAAACATTTTTTAAACAGAAATTTGGTTTCCCGCCAAAAGTTGGTAAAGATCTAAGTATGTTAAAAACGAAACATTTGTTTTGGAACAAATGTTTTTGTTATAGTGCGTTCAAACAGCCGTGTCACCTGAGGGATTAGGAGGCCCCAAGGGTTTCCATGGGGTCTCCTAATCCCTCAGGTGCCACGGCTGTTAGAACGGAGTATAACGTCTACGCTGTTTACAACACGAACACGTCCCCGATACCCCTTCGCCAACCAACCACCACCTGACTACGCGCCACCCCCCCCCCCCCCCCACAACGAGGACTGACCTCGTGACAAGAACAAAAAAGTGGACTGTCCGTTGTAGACTTTAACAAGTTCCAATCCAAACATTTTGTCCCAAACTCCGGTGTAAACGCGGCTTAATGTATAAGTAAAGCTCCTATAATCAATGGGCAAATAAATTTTGATTTCTTATTTCATAGTCTGGCAGTACCGTTTTTGTGCTTAGGCTCTAAGGAAAGGAAGGAAAACACTCGGGTAAACAAAACAAAACAGCTGTTAATGTAAATAAAAGTGGTTTGGTTTTTCATGATAGTAGATTTAACTTTTAAACATCAACTCACTGAACTCAGATCAGAACTCAGTAGGTTATAGCAATCTTAATCTTTTTAATACTTCGCACTTCGCAGCAACATTCCATTTTATTATATAACTGCAAATTGCAATTCATTTTGATTCAAATCAAATGATCTGTGATTAGTAATTTAGACTTGGTCAAATCAATTTGAAAGTCATGTTTATCGTAGGCCTAACTGGTGGTATATCCACTGGAAAATCAACTGTAAGTGAAATGTTTGAAGAATATGGGATCCCAGTGATAGATGCAGATAAGATGGCCAGAAAAGGTAGGTTCTAGGAAGGTAGTAAAATAATTATTTGTAGGTATTAAGCTAGACCGAGGCCTAGGCTATTTAAGTTACGGTAAGTTATTTAAAATAATAGATTATTTTCAAGGATTAAGGCATAACTTAGGCTAGGTCTATCATCAATTCTTATGTTAGTAACAAATAACATTAAATCAGTTAAGTTTGATGTGAAATGAGTGGTTGTTATAAGGTATGGCTCTAAGGCTTAGATTTAGGCGCAACTTACATATACAACGGTCTGTTCACCTCTTCAAAAAGACATGTGACCATTAGCCTAAGTTAATTGTTTGTGGAGCATTGCTTGCCATGGCCTAAGTTACGTCTTCACTTTGGCAGTAGGCCTAGTCTAGAGGACTCACTAATTTTTACTGCTAAACTACTCGATACTTAAGTTATTTGATACAATTAAAGTGGTTTAAAAATACTGTACCTGTAATGTCGTCAATCCCAAGTGGTTGTGAAACAACTAGTTTCGGCTCATAACGGAGCCATCTTATTTATTTATTTTACATTCCAACGGACAGCTCCATTTTGATATTTCGTACAAATCAATGCAATACAAACAAGACTTTCTTAAAGCTAGTTATAAATAATGTTGAGTGAAAACAAAAGAAATTAGAATGAATTGATAACAACAACAAGAGAGACGGCAACAAGATGGCAAAAAGACAGCGGTTGCAACAAACAAGTGACAATAAACAAAACAGTTACAACAAAACAAATCAGTAAAAGCGTTACAATGGATAACAATAATAAATTTGATTTGAGTAGATAACAATAATCTTATTCATCTTATCCATCTTATCTTATTCATCTTATCTTATCCATCTTCATCTTATTTGATACCTACTTGAATACTGCATCGGGGACCGACAAAGTCGGAAGAGATTGTGTCAGGTAACTTATAGGCCTTATGCTATTTAAGTTATTTAACATGAAAGCTAACTAAGATGACGCAGGTTTCTAAAAAGTGTTAAGTGTTGTCCAGCTCACTTAAGTTTATAGAGGTCTGGCCACCAGATAAGTTTATCTCTCAGTGTATCTTTAAAGGCCCTAATGTCCAGCTCACACACTTTAACTGGGAGCGTGTTATAGAGCTTACTACTGTAGTAAGGGAGCCCTTTTCAGTCCAGACAAGTCGACATCTGGGTAGGTCAAGGAGATGTCCATGTCGTGTTTGGTATGAATGTTGGTCACTTAAATCGAGCGAGTTTTGCTGAATTTTCTTTAAGTCTATGCTATTTCTAGGATGTCCTAGCTGTAGATGGTCAGAACCTTTCTAGGTCTTTAAAGATAGGCCTACTTTAACAGTGGTCATAACACTGCACTTTAACAGTGCCCAGCTAACGTGATAAAGCCTTTTTTTTTTGCTCGCATCTACGCCATTCTCTGAAGAAGCAAGATGTCGTGTGTTGCAGCTGTATGGCCCTAGAGTGTGATGCCATAAGTTAGCTTATGTGGCTTTGAAAGAGAGCATGGTACACTGTGACTAAGTACGGTTTAGAGATAACGAACACAAGTTTCCTCCAGGAGATAGACCACTCTGGCAAACTTGATGCATACCAGGCTAATTTGATGTTTACAACTTAACCTGGTGTCAATCCAGAAGCCCAGGAGTTTGACAGTTTCTTCATCCAGATGGTTTGGTTTGAGTGTACACGGCAGTGTTTGAGTCTTCTCGTCATTTATTTTGAGTAAGTTCTGATTGAACCACTCCTTTGCGCGAGCAAGAAGGCATTCTGCGTCAGTGCGTAGTTGGTTTAGGTCCCTGTCTCTTGTGACCAAAGCTTTTTTACTCCCTAGGGAGTAAAATTAATTTAATATTTAAACATGAGGTAAGTTAAAGCTGCATTTACATCGGAGTTTGGAACAAAATGTTTGGAAATTTTTGTTGGTAACACTTGTTTCTGAAACAAATGTTTTTAGAACAGAAGTTTTAATGAAATGAAAAAAATGAATTAGGTATTTAAACTTCTGTTACAACATATAGTGCACCTTTCTTTGATTTTGTTGGAAACATATTTAATCACTGTTCCCGAGAACACTAAGTCAGTCCCTCTCAAGATGTTTACAGAAGAGGATCTTTTACTGGCCAAAGCGGCGTGTGTAATCCTATCGTCACAGTGTAGACAGTATTTGTACTGGGCGAGATCATCGCTGCAAGCCAGGTCAAAATACAGTGGCAATAACCTATTGAATGATGATGAATGTTGAATTTTTGAATAATTGAATGACACAACATCTAATTTTACAGTAGCAGACAGTGCACTCAGTTATATGACAGCGCGAAGACTGACTGGCGCCGAGGGCGCGCCACGTAGTCTCGTGGTGGTCGATAGGCGCGGGGGGGTAGTGGGGAAGTTTTGTAAACATCATAGGAGTACAGAAACATTTCCTAATTTTTTGAACACCCTTTGATCTCTACCGACTTTTAGTGGGAAACAAAATTTCTATTGTAAACACTAAATAAAAAACATTTGTTGTAAACATGTGTTCCTAACTCCGGTGTAAACGCGGCTTAAGCAATCGCATGTTATCATAATAATGTACCGTATCAATTGTTTAATTTGGTAGTAACTTATTGTTACATTCTTGTCAATTGTTCAACATATCAAATAATTTACTCTAACACAATCTTAATGGACAAAACAATTTACTGAACATCTGTTAGATTGCAAGCAAAATTGAAAACGAGTTGGAAATAGTTAGGTACAGGCTATTGAGAGGTTATCTTTACATAAAAAGTAGCCTAGTTTCGTTTTCTAAATCAGTTTGTCAAATAATGTTGCAATTTATGACGAAAATAGTTCATCATACGGGCAATAAGTGTCTTTTCGACCCTCGCTCATTTTCCGGCTGAGGAGAAGAGTCACTTTAAGCCCTTCAGCCCTTGTGATGAAATAATATACAATTATAATAACTTATCCTAATTGAAAATAGTTTTTATATATAAAAACCTTTCAAAATATATTTTGTTGATAATTTCAGTTGTAGAACCAGGAAAAGTAGCATGGAAAAAAATAAGACAAGAATTCGGAGAGGAGGTTTTTCATCCTTCAGGAGAACTTAACAGGGAAGCTTTAGGAGATATAATTTTTGATGACCCAAAAAAGAGGAGGAAATTAAATGAAATTACTCATCCAGAGATTTACAAAGAATTGCTTTGGGCTGCCGTCAGATGTTTTTTCCAAGGTGAGTTGTTGATATTTTCTTCTAGTTGAACTTGGGACATGTAACTTACCTATAGGCCTATTTAACTTAATAAGTAAGGTGTAAGCTTAACTCATCCTTCTCAAGCTAATTAGTGGTTTACGGCTAACCTATATTAATTTGATACAAGAATAACCAATTCAAAAACGAATTGCACTAAAATAACGTCCAAAACCGGCACTACACACAATAACAATAACAATAAAAACATTCCCCACCGAATGCTGAGCTCAGACCGTCCGAGGCAATGTTAGTAAGTGAAGCGCAGTGCTATGTGTATAGTAGGTTGCGTGCAGTGCTAGTGCTCAGGCACTTCAATAATTATAGTAGCCCGCAGCGAACAAGTTAATTGTGGATTTACGATTGTATATAGTTTAAAACAACAGTCCTCCACTTCAGTAGTACTTAACCAAGAATAGTATTTTAGACTTTGCCAGAACTTCACTCAACTTACTTCACTCCTGCTCCTGTGATTAATAAATAATATATCATTAAAGGAATAAATCATTTTTAACACCTTCACTGCGGATGCCGGGTTTACCAGTCATTGGGCCTCTCCCATCGACATTGATTCATTTTAAGCTCCGTTGTTGCTGGGGAACGTTATAATTGTTGCCAGCCTGTAGCTTAGAATGTGAGCTTTATTTTGGTATAGGTTAGTACTAAAAATTTTCGTAAAATCCTGTCTGGCAATGCTTTTGTCCCAGTTTTGGGGATTTTCTCTCTTCAAGCCACATTACAAAGACACTGTGTAACACGGGTTGATGATATAGGCTAAGTTTTACATTATGTTAAGGTCCACTGTGTTAATGTTCATAATGTTTGTTACATTTTTTAGTTTATAGCTTTGACAATGTCTATTGCACAACTGTGTCTAGTAATAAAGGATTCTTATTCTTATTCTTACTGGCTACGGATTCAGGTACTGCTATCTTTGGGTGTTTCAGTGAACTACCTCCACTATCGGGGTATCGCAGCACAATCACCGGTGCTCTTTTGTTATTCGTCAGGCTGAAATATTTGAATGCCAATTGCATTCGCTGATTCGGTGGCGCACCTGGGCCTCGCCGCCATTGGCGTGCCCCTGTTTGATGTATGCTGCAGTGAACGTGTTAATCGGGTTATGCCTCAAAGCAAGATAAAAAAATGGATTAGTATGGGCCTCTTCTACTTGACATTTCACCTAAATTGATGTCTATATAATTGATCCATATTCAAGATATGGAACAAAATATTTATTTTAAAAGAATATTTTAAGAATCAAAAGAGTACTAATTGTAATATCTTTGTGTTTCTGTCAATCATGTGCTAATTTGCATGTTTCTTCCAGGTCATCAGTTCATTGTCATGGATTTGCCTCTTCTATTTGAATCTGGTGCAATGTTGGATTATATCCATAAAATTATAGTTGTTACATGGTAGGTGCTGTGTTTATTTAAACTGATATTTAAAAATAAAGTTGATCGATTGATTACAATGTTGTCTAAGTCTGTAAATCAAATTAATCATTTAAAGTGGAAAATAAACTATGAGAGAGTGAATTTTTGCATTTAAGGGGAGATAGTTACTTAAGCTATTAATTGAAGTGTGCCCTTCTGATGAAAATTTTCTTAAGTAAACCACAGAGAAGATACAGAGGAAACAATCAATGGTACACTTAAGTTGTGTTTAGCACCAGTTCTGGTGTCTAAGGCAAAGACCCCCCCCATCCGCCCCCCTCACTCTCATGTTGGAAGAAGATACCCTGTGCAATAACAATTTTTGCCCAGTGTTAGGGCTTTTCCTCGCTCGTCAGTTTTTTTTTTTTTTTTGTTTTTTTTTTAAGAGGTTGGCGGCCTCTTTTAACCTTGCATTTGCCCGTCCACATAGACTACTGATCTGTGCGTGGAACGTATCCAGCAAAGCAAGGGGTGAGCCGGTACAGTACAAAGGTGAACTGTACTGATAAAAGTTAGTGGCAGTGACCAGGATCGGAACCCACGACACTTCTGCCTTGAGTTTAGAAATCCATGAATTTGGTTTTTCCTCAGAAAACGCAACGTTAATAATTATCTAAGGATTGTATATACCTTATGTAATGGAAACTTTAAGTAGAAGATGTGACTTATTTCTTATACCTTCTTCCTAAAAAGTCCTATATTAGGATGAAATAATCATATTGTTTGTGTTTAAGTCCCTGGACTTAAATTTTCTCAGATAAACTAGTTGAACTCTAAAAATTCCTGTTAATAAACCTCTCTCTTGATTAAATACGTGTTTGAAATGAGTAAATGGTTGTATTTGTAAATAATAAATTATGTTTAAATATTGCCTTTTTCTATATTTTGTGCGACAAAAACTAAGGGCCTACATCTTTAAGGAGGTATGTGGATAAGTGCTGTTGAAATAGCAGTTACTTTATCACTGTTATCTCAAGTACTGTATATTAAATTCAATTTGATGGTTTTCCAGTGAGGAAGACATCCAACTGATGCGGCTGATAGAGAGAGGTAATCTGACTGAGACGCGGGCCAAGAAGCGTATCGCCTCACAGATGGCGCTGGACCAGAAGTGTGAGCGAGCACATTACGTGATAGAGAACTCAGGCAGCGTAGACGACACTCGGGAGCAAGTCACAAGGATCGTGGCGGCTCTCAAATGCAGTAGACATCACTGGAGACTGCGCATCATTGCTGGGCTGTTCTGCTCTGGTGTCGTATCTTTTATTATATGGCTCGGAACTAGAATGTACCAGAACCGAATCACACAGTGATGTAGTGTATAAATGTCTACCAGCAACGCATACGGTAGTAAGTCTCTTACCCTTTCTCACCAACTATAAAAAATCTGTAAGTTATGACTCACCATCAATTGGCATATTATGTTTATTATACGTTTATCTTGTCAGTAGTACAAAAAAAAAACGTTCTTCCAACACCAATTAATGTAAAAACAGAAACACCAGGTATACCCATGTAAAAAAATACCAATTAAAACCAAGTTTGTTGATTGGTTAACCAGCCTAGTTCCAACTAAAAAATAAACGCTGATAAATGGTAAGTCATGATTTATGGTTGATTCATGTTACTAATTTAATGTACAACTTAGATACAAGTTTCAATGGATACCGTAAAGAATCTCAGGTGAAAAATTATAGGCAATAGGAAATTGTTAAATAGTAAGTGTACAAAATCTTAATTTTATGTGAACAGTTTTCTATCAATGTTTTGCTAAAGAATTGTGTAGGTGTAGGCATTTACTGACCTTAAACACATTTTTCAACCGGGAGTTATTCTAGTATTTTTTTTCTAATTGTGATTTTAAATTAGCTCTATTTCTCAAACAGACCTACTTGTCAATCAGCTTAGGACACATTTTTAAGCCCCGTTGTCCAAGAACGCGTCTGTTGCGTCTGACGCTGAGTAATAGACGCTAGCGATGGACGCTCAGTGACTGCTAAGCATTGATTTCAATGGGCCCGTTGTCCAACTCTAGCGTCTGACGCTTGAGACGCTGAGCGTCTGACGCGGGGCACTGCTCCGGGAGCAGACGGGATCGCTGACGGCCAGCGTCTATTGCGTCTATTGCATTGTTGTTTCTGTGTTCTCCCGTATACTCCATAATATACAGTATCTTAATGTAATGGCTATAGTCAAAGAAATATAGAATATGACCTAAAAAGATTGCAAGATAATGTTTTAAGGTTTTATTTTGTAGTGTTGAGTCTGCTGAGTGATATACTAAAAGTTGCCAAACATCGGTCCATAGGAAACCCCCTAAAATCATTATAAAAAATGTTGGCTTTTCCCAACATTGGAAAAGTAAAAAATGATTCCACATGCATTTTATATGCACATTTTCGAGATATTGACTTAAGACCACCACCAGTATTTATTGGGTGGTTATTACTTCATTTCGATAGGAAAAACGTTTATGGCCGCCATCTTGGATATACATATTGTTTTTATGTAATGATAGTTTTGTGACACATCATTTACAAAACTAGATTTTCATGCTAATTTCAATGCGGGAATTCGTTTTTATTTTTTTTTCGTTTTAAAGATATTCAAAAGAAAACTCTTCCCCATACATTTCTTATAGACGTTTCGTACTTTTATCATTTTTTTAAATATCTCCAGTTCTTATTAACGCTTGCAGTTCGTTTCAACCTTAAAATATTCAGTAATGTAGGGGCTTCCATTTGGGTTATTGATAATTAAAATCAGACGAGTTAGAGACCCGCTACGAACAAAAACACAAAATTAAATTAAAGTTACCGGTATAGTCTAAAATAATTCACCAAAGTATTGACTTTTAAGTAAAGATTTAAGTAAAGAACAATTTCAAAATAATAATAAATTAGTGTTAAATTAAATTATTACAACTTAAACTTTAAAGGATTTAACGGAACGTAAACTGATTCCATTAAAAGTAAAAAAAAAAATCACTTAACAGACTCTTGTCTGCATTAAAGTGGTTTTTGATAAGTATTCTAAAATATCCTTCCTCACTTCTCTTTTTGAAAACACTGTGGGTACACAATCGAGGTTCACTAAAGGTCCAGAATTTCCTCGTTTTCTATCTCTTCGATGAATAGGATCTTCAACACTTGGCTCTTAACGCTAATAGTGAGAGCAAAAAAAAAAAATTTTAACACAGTCAGCAACCAACTGTTGAACTGAATAGACGCGTTCTTGGACAACGGGCCTCCAAGCGATCGACACTCAGCGATCATCGCTCGGCGATCATCGCTCTGCGTCAGACGCAACAGACGCGCCTTGGACAACGCAGCTTTACAGAGCTTGCTATTATTGGCATTTATCAAATTGTCTCCGGACATGTTTTGAATAGATCACTAATACAAAATATTGTTTTACTAAAATATTATTATTGGTTTCTAATCTTTTAACATTAGGAACTTTTTAAACCCAAGGAAAAATCTCATATATGTAAAAGTGTATTAAAATTGAAAACCTGACCTAATTTCTTAGTCTCAAAAGGGCTCAATAATGTAAATTGCATTGAAAGTGTTTTTGTCATTTATATAGTAACTAGTTTGCAGTTAGTGAACAAATGTTTATCAAAATCCTTATTTAACACAAACCAATATGCCTAGAACTAAATAGAATCTGAAGAGCAGGCTTAACACTTCAATGATAAAAAAATTTAATTTTCTTAAGCATTGGATTTTTTGTGAAGTTGTCATATATAAATATAGAATGGTTTCTACGTTGAAATCAAAACTGATTTGTTCACAAGTTTTGATTACTTTCACAGCAAGAAAAAGATTTAGTAATTTTACTTACTTATTGTGCTTTTATACAATTCTCATTAGTATAAAAAGCTGCAACACCAGACCAAACTCTATCGTTATTTATATATCGTTATTTACATACTAGTGCACCTGTTGCTCGAATTCGAGCAGTTGAAGGCGTTTTTTTTTAGGAATAACAGTCACAATTTCTGTTGACTTAAAAGAGTCAACTCAACTCAAAGCAAAGATAATGTAATCAATCACTCCACTCCAGTTATCGAAACTGGAAACGAACTCACTCTGAAAACGGACACTCTTGTGTGTATCATGTGTTTACTATAAACAGCTGTAATTAATACAAATTATTCGTCTGTTTAAGTAAACAAAATCTTTTCTTCATAAGAAGTACATTGGGATTTCGATGGCCTGTGGGGCAAAGCCCGAAGACTTTTATTACAGGAATTTGTGAAAGGGGGCGTCTACACAAAAAATACTTAATTTTGGCACCTCGTTTGTAAAAATCTGTCAATTATTAACAGAGGAGTAGTGTTTCGTAGAAATTGCCTTCACGTATTATATATGAGGATTACTAGTGTATAGCAAATTACAGTGCAAAATTAAATACTATGTGCAGTAAAACCCCAACTAACCGCCATCCATGGGTCCTTAAGTATGACCTAATAAGTAAATAGACAACAGAATTTTTTTGAAAATATTAATCAACATTTCCTAAATTTACTGCTGGTATTAAAAAAATGCCATGTTGCTCCAGCAAAACCTTTACTGCTGCCGACCCGTTTTGCATAAATGCTTCCATTTAACTCATTAGAACTAGGGACGCCTGGCGACTGCTGCTCATCGGATTTCGCTGCATATCCAGCCTTTGATGATAAAATAACACTTGTACACCAAAGTTTAGGAAAAGTATAACTTAACATTAGTCAACTAAGTTACAGTTTTGATTGTTACAATTATTTTGGGAATGTAGTATGTACAACACTGTGTACATGTGAGTTGCACATAGTATAATTTTACTTTCAGTATATACATGCTGACACATAATTCACTCTATTAAAAAATTGTGGTGCGGCTAAAACCTAGAGTAAAAAACAGCCATACATATTTTAGAAATGACATATAAACAGAGAGTGATGGTTTAAGGAGTGGCGATTACTTGGGGATCCACAGTATTTGTATATTCAAAATTAAATTATTAATCTCCAACTAAGTGTACATAAATTGGAATGTCATTGTGCGATTGGAGAGACGCCTACAGTGGCTTAGTTGTTATAGTGAAAAAAACCCGGCTTAAGCCAGGATTATTTTTTAGAAGACCAAGGATGAAATGCCGCTTGGGATGAAATTCTATTTTTAACCGTATCAAAATGCTTCAAGCTTATCTCTTGATTGAACCAGCCACCTTCAGATAACAATAATTATTGTACGTTGTATTTTTAAGTATGACCACTACCAAAACCAAACTATGTTGTATAGTTGCAATAAGTGTCCGCCTAATCTATCTATATATTAATAGGCAAGCATGTTTCTTTAAAACCTTTTTTCTCAGCTCGTGTGCATCGCAGGGAAAATCTACGCATACTGTTGGAGAGATATTTTCCTGTAGATGTGCAGAATGCCTTTAAAAATTAAAATAGGCTAACAAATAAGCACAAAAAATGAATTTGAAAACTTCAAAAAATTAACATGGACCATATGGGTTGCCATGATGGTGACGAAATAACAACAAAATGTAAACAGAAAATCAAAACAAAGGGAAGAAATTCCAATCACATGTTTTATTTACAGTGTGGGTAGAAAATAGAGAAGTCTGTACATTAATTATTTTTGGTCGAGTTTCGACCACTGGACGACCTCTCGTAGGTTGTTATTATTCAGATTGCATTTACATAATAAACTTGTATTTTAGTTATGAGGATTTGTTTACTTTATATTATTTTTACCTAAACGTCTGGTTAATTTGAGATATGTTAAGAGATTATATTGGTGTTGTTATTGCTTGGTTTGTTAGTGACATTATGTTTATTGTATAGCTTTAATTCTCATTGTAGTTTTACTTAGGTAGAAAGTTCTTGGCTAGTTTTAATTTGAATTACCGCTTAAGTTACCATTTATTTTTTTCTTCTGATACCTCTTAGATAGAGCTAAAAAATTAAAGTACTTGTTCCGCTACAACCGTTTTAACAAATACGAGTTTTGGTTGAGTTTTATTTGTAAACACGATTATCTTCTTTCATAAAACAAGCTTAACATCTATAAGGTTAGTGATTATTTTCATCAACTGTGTTAAAATGCTAAATGGGTTGGGAATTTAAACTGAAGCTACACCAATGTAAAAGAATAATGATGTTTGAGATTATATTTAACATCAAAACCTCATGTTAGTTTATTTTGGAATTTTACAACTGTTATAAAAATATGAGCTCTTAATGTTCAGAAGTACCGGTACGAGAGGTTTTGATTAAAACACAATTAACAAACCCTACAAACATTACACAAAGTAAAATCACAAGTTCTAGTTGACTTTTTTCCACTGATCATGAAAGTTGAATACTTTGTTAAAGCTAAAGTATGTTGCTTTGTATTTGTACGCATTTTAATCAATTTGCCATTTAAATAGGGCTAGCTGTGCTGTATGCCACGCATTTGACCACTGTGATATTTTCAAATTGGTCTTTACAAAATATAGTTCTCTCATGTACCAAATAATCTGTAAGAGAACATGGAGCAGGAGTTCATCATTAGTAGCCTCATCATTAGTAGCCTAAGTGTTTTATTTTTATTTTGTTGCTTCATTTTTATATTTTATGTAACCACTAATAATTTTTTTAGGAGAAAAAATGATTTTTTTTGTATTATTGAATAGAAATTTTTAATAAAATTTTACTATTCATAAGTGGTGTTATTACTCTGCCCTTTCAAAGTAGGGATGAGCATCGATACTCGATGTTATAGCGAATTTCCCTATAGGAAAGTAGCTATTACCGTAGGTCTCATGGTAAGACCTAGGCCCGGGACCGATTTACTTTTTCATTTTGATGTCCCCAGAGGCCAAAAACACCATTCGTTCAAATTTGTATATATCAAATTTAAAAACACCACAAGTATTCAACTTTTTCAAAGGTGAAATTGTGAAAAACATAATTAGCATGAAACCTGTTCAGTTAAGATCAAAAACAAAATGTTCCCATAATACTGAAGTGGAGTACAAAATATCTTTCCGGATTTACTTTCTAAATCCTGTTGCCTGGTAACTGATAAGACAAATATTAATAGTGGTTTGATTACCTTTCATTTTCGTCCCAGCTCAAAACCATAGTTGTATTTAATCTACAACCATGGTTTCAACGCCAGTTGCGTCATGGTCACGTAGGTCATGTCGAGAAGTATCATGTTGTCATAGTCGGTCGTTTGGACGTCGTCAAACTCACAGGGACATGTACATGGTTTACAAAAAGGTTCTCGGGGGACGGAATACCTGTACGTGTTCCTTTGTGTTTGTGACCATGACGCAACTGGCTTGAAACCATGGTTGTAGATTTAATACAACTATTTTGTTCTGGGACACTATAAATATTAATAAATCACTGTCGTAAAGATAAAATATTCATTCCAAAGCATCAATCTATTCAAGTTAAAGCATCCAAGGTTAGAGCGCCTTATATTAACAAAATCCAATGTACGATCTCAAACCTTTTAATTACTTAACCTACTTACTAGCCTATTATTTATTACAAGTGATAAAAAATTGAAAAACTATATTTGTACTGCAAAATAATTTTAATGGTAAGCAAAACAAAAACAAACCAAATGTGAAAAAAAATGTGTTTAAACATTACAAAATGTGATACAAAATATCTATGTGACAGTACTATCCCTGCTATTACTGCACGTCTTATTTAACATAAATACATATTTTTGTAAGTTATGGATAAAATGCTCTAAAATAACAAATCAATAAACACTTAAGAATTTTTTTAAATAGTAGCCTATATGATCAGACCTTAAAATAGTTTGTAAAAGCATAATTGTATCAGATTACTATTTTGCACTTATAAATTATTATATTTATCTCATACAAACTAACTTTAAAATGTGCCAAGAAAAAAAAACACCAGAAGTCTGTATACTATATAGTATATAGACTTTACAAAGGTAATCCCATACTATGTACAGAATAATGTACTTTAAAATGACGTTTGAAAATTGAGTAGCACACAAAACATCCACTTTCACACATACCCTTAGAACACTTAAATTTTTTCTCACAAATCTAGCCAAAATGTCTTTGGTCATTTCTGGCTCAGGTAGTAAGAATGTGTAAGTTTTTTCTGCGTCACATGCCTGTAACAAGAACATAAATATGTAGTAGCTAATAGGAGAGTATGAGTAATCTGATCTTTTGCAGCCTACTATAACTAGGCACAAATTTTCAGAACACATAAAGAAAACAGGAACCCCAAAATAAATTTAAAACCTGATATTTTGAAAGGAAGCTTTTAGATCAGTTTAATGTGATGTATAATTTTTGTTGGTAACAATATGAAGTTGATGACAAAATAAATTGACAATAGAAACATTATTCATTATTATTTATCATTATTTGATTATTTCAAAACTAAATTATGGAAGTGTGTTTTGAAAGTATATTGAGGTATTGACTTTTGATCTTTGTAATTTTCTATATTTTAAAACAAACATATTTAAAATATTGACCACTATTTTCTATTCTTGATAATTAAAGAGAATAGTTATTGCTTCGAGATAAGATAAACAAGTTTTGTAGGCTAAAAGTTGCTCTTGAGTCACTTGTTTCATCATTGGTGGATAAACGAACAAGTGTTTACTCCTTGATAGTCAGGCCAAAGCTAAAATCATAAAACTTAATTTGAGCTCTATAAATAAAATGGGGCAGTCCCTTAAACATTTACGTCTGTAAATTGCATACCCTTTCACACGTTTGTGTTTAATAGAAACCAACATAGGAGTTAACAAATACTACACTCGTATTACAAGTGTTTAATGTGTATCCAAAGTAATCAAATGGATAACAGTAAGCTCAAAAGTGACCAAGCTACGCTTACTGAATCAACCACGCAACAAATAGCAACGCAGCAGTAACCACATTCGCCATTCACTGCGGACAAAAGAAGGACGACTGGTGTTGTCTCAGGTTAACTAAGACAATACGTTACTTGAGTTAGTGGGTAGGCATATCCTTCCCCAAAATAGTTTATTTTATAAAGTGTATGCTTGTTGTGAAATATAAATCAAAAATTTTGCTATACTGATTCATCTGACTTCCCCTCTATACATAGTACTAGTAGCCTGTATGGAGAAAGTATTGTTTTTGTCAACATTTTGGAGTTTGAGTTTTGGGTGGATATTTTGGTTTTGGGACCCCTGAACCCAAAAAAGTGGTTTGCAAAATGATTTCCGTGCGCATGTACAGAGCTTAAGACCACACACTGTAGTCCAATACTAAATTGAGTCACAGGCATTTTTTGGGACAATTCCAATTATTAATTGTAATTTTACCATAAAACCCCATAAAATAACTGAAAAATTGATATTCAAAAAAGGCTTGACTGATTTTTAATCAAATTTAGTATATTGTAGCCTTTTTAACTCAAACAAAAGTGTAAAGCCCCATCGCTGTAAAACGTATAGTTCAAGTTATTGCACTTGAGTGATTTTACATTTTAATTTTTGGTAAGTGAACTTTCCAGGAATTTTACTTGAATCCAGCTATAGGTATAGGTAGGCTATGTATGTTACCAGAAAAGAATATAATGCAAGCATTTTAAACATTGCCTGAAAAAGTTGCAAATAAAATAAAGATATTTGTATAGAATATGTTTTAGGTCCGTTCGGTTACTTTAGATGAGATTGGCTTATGCAAAAAAAAGAATTAAAACTTCCCTTAGTTCTTTAGAATCATTTATTTTTGTAAATAGTTCAGGTTGGTTTGTTTATTCTAGGCTAGATTAGTTAATGAGAAACAAGGAAACTAAAAAATCAAGTTTGAAAAAGTCCTACAACAGCATATTTTATACTTTACCTGTGGTGCCAACAGGCATTTAATAGAATGACTTGGCAAACTAAATGATGAGTTTAATTTGATGGTTTGCATGATTCATTGCAATGTATAGAATGCCTGATTTATAATTTTATGGTAACACAGCCTACTAAGTTCATCATTAACCCTGACCTTAGACTCAATGTCTCAGCCAATGTTTTTTTCCAACTTACTAAACCAATTCTTAAACAGGTAGCCTAAATGCCAATCCCATAACAAATTAAATAGGCTACCATACTTCTTTTTAGTTATGAATGCTACTTATATTTTTATTTATATAAGATATAATAAGTAAGCCTGGTATAATGTTTATATTTTCCAAATGTTTACTATGGGCGTACCTGAGTCCTAATGAGATATGTTGGGTTGCAGGACTGGTCTGGTCATTATAGGGTAGGAGACAAGGGGTCCGGGGGGTTCGCTCATGGACATGGATGGATTTTGTCCGCTGGGTTGTTGTGCCATCGTCACCACGGCCGGTGGGATCTGTACAGGCGCCATAGACACGGTAGCGATGGAGCACGGCGTGCCAGCGACTGCGGCAATGGAAACAGGCACTGTGGCAACGCTTGCAGTCACTGTGCGAATCGCTGCGTTCATCACCTGGTGGTTTGGAGCCTGCGCAGGCTGCATCTGTGCAGTGTTGGTAATGGTCACTGCTGGTACTGTGACAGCGGTCAAGCTCGCTGCGCCCTTATCATTCAATCTCATCTGTGCATTTTGCTCCAGTAAAAACTCATTGGTCGCTTGCAAATCGTCCACTCGCTTCTTCAGTTCTGCAACCCGCTGTCTTAAAATTGCGTTTTCTTCTTCCAAAACGTACATCGCCCTATCCGATCGCATTTGCCCATTATTAGGGTAGCTGTTGTAAGTTGGTTCTGCTAATCGCCTACGCTTGTAGACTGGCTCGTAATCGTCGAGAACAGGCCTTGTTCTATCGTCTCGCCTACGGTACATAGGCTCTTCATCAATATACGATTGACGCGCAGGAGGCAATCTCTGGTGGTTGCGATTGTTATTAAGCGCTTCAAGTTCTCTCAATGATATATGACGGAACCTACAATTTCTTCTGGTACAATCCCCATTTATATAGTCTTTACATACAGGTGTTGTTTCTCCCATTTTAACTGATAACAGTTCAGCAGCGACCCATTTGTTCCAAGGTTCGTCAAGGATCCTATTAGGAAGTTCTCCTGTTTGCTTATAATGCTCTTCCTCTTCGTCTGAACAGTGTAAAAATTTGCATGGATATCTGAGACACTTGCCATTTTGATAATCATGACAAAATGTTAATATTTTGGATCGCATGCCATAATCTTTTTCCCTTTGATCTGGATGCAAATATTTACAGTCACGGCCTCGGTTACATACATTTCTGAGGAAGTCTCGACAAATCTGTCTCCGGTCATCTCTCCCTCTATCTTCGAAATCGGCCATCTTGGTCTCAGGGAATACTGTCACCTAGAAATCAAGAAAAAGTATTTGGTTTTATAAACTAGCGATTAAATATATAAACTCTAGATTACAGACTTGGTTTTAGGGTGTTGGTGCTACTACACACCAGTAGAGCGAGTAACAAAGCAGTAGCGCCTGACAACTGTTTTGGTAAACTGTTTCGATGATGGCTTTCTGTCACGAGGATGAAATTTCAGCCTTCAGTTAGGCTATAAGAGTTTGTCTGGGATGCAATCATCTACAAACTTCCTCAAGACAGGACAACTTTTATTATTTTATAGCCTACCATTAAACAATAAAACCAGTAACTTAAATATACAAAATGTAGAGTACCAAACGTTGATTTATTGTAAAAACCAACATAATATAACCTCAGTCTAACTATAGACCAAAAGGAAGGCTCTGAATATGAATTACGTCCCTCTTTGGTTCATACTGGTCCTGATCCATTTCTAAAGTTTAATACCTCATATTATTCTAGATGTTTCTTGGCAACTTTTTATAATCTTACAGACTAACTTAATTGCCACATTACAGTAACCTAGAACCTCACTAATTCGAATATCAGAGGATAGACAATTTATTTCGAACTATGGGAAGTTTGAAATTTTGAGAGTTTGATTTATAGTGGTTAGAATAAATAAAATTCAAATTAAGGAGGTCCCAGTTTGAATTACGGCAAGAAAATTCAAATTGTAGAGGCTCGAGTATTGTAGACTCCATCATATCCGGATACCTTTTAACCGGACTACACTCGGTAGAAATTAGATCTCTTTAACAAGACAATTTTTATCAGCACATCGGTTTAACCAGACTAGATCGACGACGGTACTGAAACGGTTTCTTTGGCACGGTGTTGGCGGTACTGAAACTTGTTCTCGTGGGAAAGATTTGAGACCATGTGATCACGTGTTGAAATGCGCTCCTAAAATTAAGACAAATACTGTATACAGTATGCATTTTAACGAGTTTTTGGGGACGTCGGTTAAACTGGAAAACTCATTACCCGCACTGGCCTCGGTTCCGAGGAGTTCGGATAAGAGAGAGTCTTCTGTGCAAATTCGAATTGTAGAGGCTGCATAAAGCATAAAAATCACTTTGAATTATTGGTACATATAGGCCTAATATATTTGTAATTTTTAGCGGTTTTATAAGTGGAACAAACAAACATATTTCTAACTATAGAGGTTTTCGAATTATCGAGGTTCGAATTAGTGAGGTACACAACTTGCAAAAATATATACCTAAATTGATTAAGAAATGAAACTGTTAAAAACTAAGCTAACCAAGAAACCAAACTTGATGTAACATTCAAAAAATCTGTTTGATGTTTCCCATATGCCTTTTCTGTTAACTTATCAAAGGGAATTTCATAATGTTAGGCCTACAGCAAGTTTGGTTAGTTAGTTTAGGCTTAGTTTAGTTTTAAATAAGTAGTTTCATTTTATTTTTGCCTGAATAAGATTTAGCTCTCAATTTGTAATTTAAATTCGTTTGAAGGTATTAAAACAGAATGAGTATGGATAGTATTTTAAAGGAAAACAAATTACTTAATAACGCTCTAATGTAAATGAACAATCTTAAAATATGGTGCTGGGCTGCTGGTTATATTTTGGTCATAAAATGATATTTTAATTTCAATGATAGGCTTTGTTAGTAACGTCATTTTTTGGTTTCCTTGCCGTTACCATACACCTACTTTTTCGATGATAGCGTGTTTAATAGCCTATTTATTTATCGTGTGGAAAAAAATAGTTAAACATATTCAAATTTAGCATAAAATTCTGCACAATTTAAAAACCGGTAGCCTACCTACCTTAAGTTAAATGTGTATTTAACTTGGATATGAACCCATTGTACATATTTTTTCTGATTTTCCGTGTTTAAGTTGGGGTCTCTTCCAGGGAAAACTACCGTAATTTTTTAATTCAGGACGTGTTTAAGTTAATAGTGTTAAAAAAAGGCCTATTAACACTTTTGAATGTGACGTCTGTGATCAAAATAACTTAATTACCGGAAAGGGTCATTCACCAGCCTCAAGCCAATCCATGAAAAGCTAATGTAATTGTTAATAAATTTGAATTTAACTTGGAACATTGAAGGCAAAGTAACTGTAAGGTTTTATTTTATGTGTGATTATAAATTAACAGAATCGTGGATTATTTATAGGCATGCACTGTGGATGTGATACTCCCTGGTGTGGATTAACATCTGCACTAGTGAGTACTACGACTAACCCACAGTTCTATCTTGATTAGACAAATTGGTTACAAGGCAAAAATGTGGTTCGGATTCCACTATAGTAGGTCCCTTAGCTGCCATTGGTTGTAAGGGTGTTAATTAACAGCTGTGTCTACAGACATCCCAAGAACAAAACAACCTGCGCAGAAACGAAAAGATCACGTAGTTCGCGCCGGTAGGTGGGTTCTTTTGTTTCTGGGATGTCTATAAAAAACATGTCGGCCTTAGTCACTAACAAGACTACAAAATCGCACCACTAACTTACACCTAACTTATCTCTAGCCATACGTGGCTTAACCCTTCCCGGACGGGCGAAATCATGATATAGGACAAGGAAAAATTAGAGAAAAAAATAAAAATTAATTTTTCATTTTTGTGTTTTGTTATACATGTATACATAAAATAAACACAGTGGAACACATTATAGGCCTACTGTCAAAATAATTGTTTACTCGTTTTTAATTAGGCTATGCGGATATATCCACTACCCGCCCGCGGATGAGTAGAAATGCAGCGAATATCCGTCACCCGTCTTTGAAGATATGACCATGACAACGTTAGGCAATAATTAAAGAACAATATGTAAACAATAAATAAAGACAACGTAATGTTAGCGCGAAACGTCGAGGGAGGGAGCGTAGGAGTGGTGGTAGGTGCGCGGGTGGGGGTGAGGCGCGGGTGAGAGGGGGGAGTGCGGGAGGGGGTGAGGCGCGGGTGAGAGGGGGGGGTGTGGGGTAGAGCGCAGTCATGGAAAGAGCAGGAAAGAGGCGCCTTGGTACTGCGAAACATCTACCGGTAGTTACGCACCTGCCAGTCTGTCTGAAGAGAAGGCAGATATAACCTCTTCCCGTCCGGAACATCAAAAACCATATGCGGATATATCCGTCACCCGTTCTTTATCACCAAAGACTTAGGCGGACATATCCGTCACCTGTCCGCAAAGGGTTAGAATGCCTAACTTACATTTGTTAGTTCCCATTTCAGAATTATTAGGTAAAGCAATAAGCCATCAGATCTTTCACTTTAAATGGGGATATTTCTAAGCAGTGGGCTGTGAGGCTGATCCAGATTGGTAAAAGAATAAGTTAAGCCAAGCCTAACTTACTTAGGTAGGCCTACTGTGTGGTAACTTACGGTAATCAAAAAGTCGCTAATTTTACAATTCTTTCAAGGTCTATTAGAGGTGTGTGAGTGAATGCTGACCCTTAACTTTTAATAATTAACAAGCCAGATTTTTAAGACCTTATTAGGCCTACTTAACAAATCGGTAGGTAGGCCTAATTATTGCGACGAACATGACCATGGGAACCTATATAGATTTATATATCACCAGAAACTAGATTTTCAGCTGAAAATAACGGTGCAAAAATTTTTCCGAGCTCACAAATATTAACGGAGTTACGGCTGTTTTAAGTTTTATTTACCTTTGTAAGTCTCCTGGCTAGTCTATTTTAATTTACGATATTTCCTCACCAGAAACTTGATATATTATTATCAAATTTATGTAAATTGTAAGTGATTTTAAGTAAATATTAGAGTCACACTAACAATCAATAGGTTAATTGACGCAAACTTATTAATTTCAGCATAATGAACGTTCGGGAAACAAGATAGCTAAGCTGTACGCAGCTACTTGAGTGAAATGGTTAGTGGCGGCGGCATGATGGATTTGACAAAATCCAGTTCTAGTCCAATCCACTCCACAAAATAGGCCAACATTGTTACTTTAACCATGTAGCTTTTATCCCCATTAAAATCCTTATAGAATAAGGATTTTTATGTAGGAATACTTCTAAAGCCTAACAACTTTTATTAAACATACACTAACCAACGAAGGTAGACTTCTCATTCCATTCTAAAATCTGAAGTTTTTTCAATGTCTAACTTAGTTCATGTTGGTGACACTTTAGCGCTAGTATCATAACACTTTGTTAAATATTACCAGAGAATACCACAGTATTATTTAAAAAAATTAGTAATGAACTGTATTTACATTTGGTTATATAACCAGGGGATGAGTGATTGTGTTATTCATTGACTTAAATAACACGTTGATTAGTCTATGAATATATATTATTTTTGTTTTGCTGGTCAAGAAGTTATTCGTATTATTTTTCAAATTAAACTATTCTAAACTAACCTAACCAAAACAAACTTGCTGTAACATAAAATATAAGTATGATGACAGAAAAGGCATGTGTGGAAGGCAAGTCGAACTTTATGCAGATTTGTGACTGCATTAAGTCCTTTGGAGGTGAAATCATTATTTCTTTGTGTTTAACACACTATTTTAATGGCACAACAACTGCCTGGGTGTAATATAAATTATCAACTCGGTTCACTATAACCTACACTTTACCTTCCTAATCTAACCTAACTTCAAAACACTTAAAACAGTCACTAATCCGCATAAGCCCGACTTGCCTTCCACACATACCTAAATAAAATCATTCTGAAATAAGTTATTCAGTGCCGTGTTGTTTCTTAGATGTTTTTAGCACATGTAGGCTACTTTGAATGTCTTGATTGACTTATTTTTATTCTCTTCTCTTCAATTTTGTAAGTTAACTTATTTTCATTTTCATTTCAGGTTCAGTAATAGTTCTACGAGTAACAGTTAGTGAGTTAGTCCGTTCCGTAATTACGTAATGTGGCAAGGAGTAGCAGACTAGAATTAAAAGGTAGGACTAGATAAAGGAAATCAAAACGACAAATTATCTTAAGTTACCTAATTAGATATTCATGGCCTCAGAGACATTTTTGCT